AGTCCACTGGAACTGAGACCCTGCAAAACTCTCTGGTTGAGAGGTGGTGTGCAGAGGTTTGTCCTGGTGTTCGGGGGGGGGGGGGGGGGTGGGGGTCTGCTGTGCTAGACCTCAAGCAAGAGTGATTGAGAAGGGTACTTCCAACAGAGCGCCAGGGGGTGGTGCCTAGTGTAAGTTAGGTAGCCAGTGTTAATGAAGCACTGCTTCCTGCAGGTGGCTTTGTGTTTGTGCTGAAGGGTAAGAGGAGATGGTGACAGCAGGCGCTGCTTTGTTCCTACAGAGGGGTCTCTCTCAACTTTGCCTCTCAGGGACATGCTCTGAGAAGAGCAAATAATGTCCCCACTGAGTGCCCCAGGCACTCTTCAGATCACTGTTTCCATGCTGTAGTGCTCCCAAGTTGTTTGTCTGCCCTCTCTTCAAGAGCAGTGCAGTGCCCGCAGGGCCCTATCCCAGCTAAACCTGATGCCCTTTAGAACTCCAGGCTTTAAGCTCTACTGGTTGCAAGAACACAGGAAATTCAGCCCCTCTTGTTTTTCAAGCTAGTGTCTATGGGGAAACGTTCTCTTTGTGTGTTTCCATGTGTGTGCCTCTCTCTCACCCTTCTATGCGACCATGACTCCCTCCCCTCCACAGCTGCTTTGATCTGTTTGTCTTCTATACCACATTTCTGCATCAGCTGCATTCTCTGATGTCACCTCTTCCTCCCCTTTAGTTTGTTCTATCTGTCTTCATGTCGATTTCTGGGGTACTTAGGATGAGTTGATAGTTATCTTGTTTTATTTATGGGATGAGGCAAGCCTTGGGACCTCCTACTTCTCTGCCATCTTCCTGTCTCTAAGCTTTTTTTCTAAGATTCCCTTCAATGCCAACAATTCTTTTTTTTTTTTTTTTTAATTTTTAAGCACTTTACATATTTATTTATTTCATTTCCACACTACCTGATAATGTCCGTTTGACAGGAGAGAAAGCAAAGCACAAAACGGTAAGAAAACTTGATTTTTGTCCCCATAGCTCAAGACGGAAGTACATAGTCAGATAGTTTTACTCTAGAGCTTGTGTTCTCAACCATGATGGTAACAACTGACAAACCTCAGGGAAAAAAGAAACAATGATGGAGCCCAGTGACAGGTCCTGGACTCAATCCCTCCTTGGCCTTAAAAGGTAGGCAGTATCTGACTGCATATGTCCACAGATGGGCCATTGTTAGCACAGGCGTAAAAGTGCCTTGGCATTATTACCTAACCTGTGAACAAGTGGCAGGATGGTCCTGGTGGCTGAGAAAGGAATTGTACCCACCACCAGGGAGTGATGTGTGAGAGGCAGTCTTGGAACCTGGTAGATTCTGCAGACGGTTGTGTTGGAGCATTGACAAAAGTGAACCCTCTGACACAGAAATCCTACGTAAGTAAATTGTAGTTTACTTTGATCCATATAAAGCCATCCCACTTGAAGATATTCAGTAAGCTTGCCTCCTGGGTTTTTTTCTTCCTCTTAGGGGAAAACACATAGGTTGTTTACAATGGCATTTTGTATTTCCAGGGTAAGGTCCTGCCAGGTCCAGCATAACTAATTTACCAGGTTCCAATGCCAACAATTCTTACAACTAGGCAGAAATGTCTCTTTAGAATTTCCCCTCAAGTTAGTGGAGAAGAAAGACTGCCAAGCAGAGGGACATATGATTTGAAGTGCAATAGTTGAAAAACTAGAAAGAGTCAGCTTCATAACAAAAACTGGACCTTTTATGTGATTTCAATTACAAGAAATAGGCAGCTTTGAGTATTTTTTCATCAACTTAATACTCAATCTTCATTTCCTTTCCTCAGTGAAGAAATAAAGAGAACATTATGGAATCATTTTTAATCTTTCCAGTAGCAAAAGAAATGTACTGTCCTTTGGCACTACCTTAAATTAACTACAATTTCTCCTTTACCCTACCCCAAGCTTGTTTGTGTGGGGAGGTAAAACCACCTTATCTCTATGTTGTACCACAGTGCTTCAACATATCATACAAATTGGCTTTGAAATTTTTTTTGTAATTTAAATTACTAATCTACTATTTATCTCTGATAAATCAATTTAATACTACCTCGTTTTTTACAGCTGTCTTATTGGAAGGATGTAATGTTTATTCCACTAATTCTAAACTGAGCTGTAAGATACAGCTATGCATATCTTTCTATTTAAGTAAAAAGGTGGATACGGGCTCCTGTGTTTTCCAAGATTGTAGGATCTGTGCCAAGAACAGCATTAACACCAGTGTTACACACAAGAACCAGCTCAAAGGAGGATCTAATTGTGAATTGCAAAATGATGGATTAGCAAGATTTCAAAACAGGAAAGATGAACAGCCCAGAGTTAATCTTTTCCTTCCTAGATGGTGAAAACTACGGGTGAGTCTATACATTATAATGAGGTAATAAAATATAATGAAGTAAATAGCAGACTAAGTTAACAGATCTTATGACCAAGATCTGATGGAAATGGTAGTGGGAGGCACTGAATGAGAGACTAAAAGTTTGAACAGGAGGGGCACTTGGGTGGCTCAGTCAGCTGAGCTTTTTTTTTTTTTTTCTTTTAATGTTTTATTTATTTCTAGGAGAGAGAGAGAGACAGCGTGAGCAGGGGAGGGTCAGAGAGAGAGGGAGTCACAGACTGAAACAGGCTCCAGGCTCTGAGCTGGCAGTCAGCAGAGAGCCTGACGCGGGGCTCGAACCCACGAACCGCAAGATCATGACCTAAGCGAAAGTCAGACGCTTAACCGACTAAGCCACCCAGGAGGCCCTCAGCTGAGCTTTGAACTCTCAGGTCATGATCCCAGGATCATGGGATCAAGACCCATATCAGCCTCTAGACTGAGTGTGGAGCCTGCGGAAAATTTTCTCTCTCTCTCTCTCCCCTCCGCCCCCCCGCCCCCGCCAATGCACGGTGTAAAAATGAATGAATGAATGAAAATCTAAACAGACTACAGAAATAGGATTCTATCGTTTGAGCCTGACTTCACATGGAGTCATGAGGTCAGCAAGGCCTAAGCTAGTAAAGGGTCCTTTCAAGAAACAAAAATCTCTATAGGAGTAAAGTTAAATTCTCCTACACTGACTTTTTACCATTATGTAAGTGACTAATAATTTGCAAGATAACTAGGAAAGAGTTTTCATAAAATTTGATTTGGTACTGGCATAAGGACAGACATCTAGATCAATGTATTAAAATTGAGAATCTAAAAATAAACTCTCACAGTATAGTGAACTGATTTTCAACAAGGGTGCCAGACAATTAAATGGAACAAGAATAGTCTTTTTAAACAAATGGTACTGGGAAAAATGGATATCTGCATGCAAAGGAATAAAATTAGACCTCTACCTCATAGCATGTATACAAAATTAACTTAAAATCTAAGAGCTAAAATTATAAACCTCTTAGAAAAAAGGCATAGGTGTATATGTTTGTGACTGGATCTGGCAATGGTTTCTTAGATAAGACACCAAAAGCCAAAAGCAGATTAAGTATATTTCATCAAAATTAAGAACTTCTATGCTTCAAATATTACCATCAAGAAACCAAACAGGCAAGCTAGTAAATATGAGGAAATATTTGAAAATCCCATGTCTGATAAGGGATTTGTATTTAGGATATTTAAATAAGTTTTACAATAATGAAAAGACAACCCAGTAGAAAAATAGGCAAAGAACTGATTCGCTCTTTAAAGGAGATCTAGAAATGGATAATAATCACATAAAAAGAGAGGTGTTCGACATCATTAGTTATAAGAAAAATGCAAACCAAAAACCACAAGATGCCATTTCACACCCACTAGAATTGCTATAATAAAAATAACAAATAATGACAAACATTGGTAAGAATCAGGGAAAATGAGAACCCTCAAAAGCTGTTGATGAAAATGTAATGCTGCTGCCACTTTGGAAAACAGTCTGGCAGTTCTTCAAAAAGGTTAAACTTAAAAAAAAAATCTTTTTAATTTATTTTAGAGAGAGTGCACAACTCGGGAAGAGGTAGAAGGAGGGAGAGAATCCCAAGCAGGCTCCATGCTCAGAGCAGAGCCCAATGTAGGGCTTGATCCAACGACCCTCCGATCATGACCTGAGCAGAAATCAAGACTCAGCCACTCAACCGGCTTAGCTACCCAGGTGCCCCTCCTCTAAAGGTTTAAAAAACAAAAACAAAACCAAAAAGGTTTAACAGAGTTACCATATGAACCAGCAATTCTATTTATAGGTAGATACCCAAATGAAATGAGAACATGTTCACATAAAAAGTTGTACATCTGTGTTCACAGTAACAATATTAACAATAGACAAAAAGCAGAACCACCAAAAGGCCCATCAACTGACAAATGAATAAATATAATGTGATGTGTCCATGGAATATTATTCAGCAATAAAAATAAATGAAGTACTGCCACATGCCTCAAAATATATACCTTGAAAACATTTTGCTAAGTGAAAGAAGGCTGTCATGAAGGACCACATACTGTGATTCCACTGATAAGAAATATCCAAAATAGGCAAATCTATAGAGACAGAAAGTAGAGTAGTGATTCCTTAGGGCTAAGAGTCAGGAAGGGGAAGCTGGCATTGGATGACAGCTAAAGCATACAGGATTTGTTTTTAGAGTGGTGAAATGTTCTAAAATTGATTGTGGTATTCTTTGAATAGAACAAAAGGTATTGAACTGCGTACTTTAAGTGAGAGAGCTACTTGATATATTCATTATATCTCAATAAAGCTGTTACAAAAAAAACCCAACAACAACAACAAAACTTTGCTGTTAATGTTTTGGTGTTGTGTCACAGTGTGCTGCTGGGCGTTCGCTCAATAGCCAGGGTTCGATACATAAGAGTCAACAGTATGGCCTTTCTACTGAAAAATATATCAACTATATCAAATTAATAGAAAAAGCTGTATTTCAGTGCTCAAAACACTAAACAATTTCTTTCCCACAATTAAGTGATTTTGGGTTCCCAAAATTTGATTAAAAATTACCTTATGTTTTAACATATTAATCTGAATATTCATTTCAATTTGTTTGGTTAAATCACCATGGGAACAAAGCTCTCCACTTTCAGATTCATTTAACTTTCTTCTTGTCATTTCAAAGAGTTTCTTAAATCTGTAGAAAGTATATAATGAGTTAGGTTCCTTAAGAGTAAATATTTAATAATGATTTAAATAGATATTATAATTTCTATCATATAAACGAATCTATAAGTTATGATCTCTCATCTGTCCCAATCTCACATTGTCTGAACAGAGCATACTAACTAAATTATAGCCTTGGGCAGAATATGTGAAGAAAATTTTTATGATACATATGGCAGTTAAAGGGTTACTATTGTCACTCTCTTAAGAGATCTTATAAATAAGTTATTAGTATCCATTTCAGTACGTTAACATAAAAAATTAATCCATTATTAAATATTGGCTATAAACCAGAGGCTAGTACCCAAGGTGAAGAAGAAAAGCATACGGACATATGAATGTTTTAAAGAGACATAAAAATACATTTTTGTACCTACTGACTACAGTCTACAAGAACAAAAGAAAATACATACAAGAAACATCAAAGGAGATCATTCAAAATAGAGCAACAGGAAGGAAATAACTGAGTTAAGAGGAAGAAGAAAAAGACAAAGCTTTAGAAGAAAGGAAATCAACAAAGAGATAATGTGTAACAGTCTATGAGAGTGTTTTAGGAAAAAATCTGGATACCTTGGCTAGCACATTAGCAAAGTGAAAGGGATGCAGAACAATGTACAGAAAGACATTAAATGAGAGAAAGATATTGATGAGAATCAGTAACAAACCTAAGGACTCAGCAAATAGGAAGCCTGGTGGGAGCTTCAGAGACATAGGAAAACATGTTATTTAATCTGAGTGGTAAAAACATGATTGCTCATTTTATTCTTCTTTACATCAGACACATATTTCTTATGTACATTTTATAACTAAACAATGCACAAAGAATATATAGGCCAAAGCAAGATTATTTTTTGATTTTGTTAAATAATGATACAGATAAAAGAACAAAGAAGGTGTCAATGAAGAGTGCAGTTAACATACTATGTTAAACGCATTATTGATATTAAAGAATCATTAAGAAGTTAAGTGTAATACTTTGGCATGAATTTGTATTTAAGTTTTAATAAAGTAAAATTACAGTGAAATTGACTAACGAATGGTTAAAATGATCTGAAAGAATAGTCTTACCCAGTGATCTCTTTTTCTAATTCACCATTTTTCTTCATTTCTTGATCCAAACGATATTCCAGAGATTGTTTTAACTCGATAAATTTCTCTAGTTGTTCCCTTTCATCTTCAGACTTCAGAAAAAAAAAGTTAGAGAAAAATATTTTTAAAAATCTACAGACTCATTCTTCTTTCTTAAGATATTATTTCTCATGAATTCATGAGTAATAGGTTTGGATAGGTTTATATACTACATTTTATAATCTAAATTTTAAATTTGATGACTTCTCATTTATAACTAATTTATAAAATTTAGTTTATAAACTTGATGCCAATAAAAACAAATTTTCAAAACAGAGATCTTCCTTAAAACAGCTTTAACTGATTTTCCATTTTCATCTTTAATTTTTTTGGAATTTAAATTGCCAAGATTTACTTGTTAAATATACAGGTTCTTACCCATATTAAGTATTAATGAAAAATTTTTGAAAGTGGCTATATTTACATTTTAGTTTCTAAAGATGCCCTAGAAACATTTGCATCAGTAGCTTAAGATACTCTGGGTTTTGTGAGATCACATCTTATTTAAGATAATCTTTGAAAAATTCCCATGCAGTCCTCATTACTTTTTTGATGATCATTTGACTTTACAATGAGATACTCTCATTCTCTGCAAGACTTCAGTATCTCCTTTTATATTAACCATTTACTTCACTTTTGTAGCTTTGTCATCCTGCTTCTCCCCTTTCACTGGACTCAAACATTCTTTAATGTATCATCTCATCCACAGATTCAACTTTTCCTCACTGATTTCCTTATTTTACACTGTATTTCGACCTTGTAATTCCACTAAGAAATTTTGAGTCTCATCAAGGACCTGTTTTCCTGAAAGTCTTTATCCTGCTTCACTTCTCAGCAGCGGCGGATAACAACGACCACACCCTCCCTCTGCTCTCCTAACCCCATTTTATTTCTAAAGGACCTACACAGTCAAATATCATTACTTGATACAGAACCTTTGCAGACAGCTAATCTTGTACATTTTTTTGGACTCTTTTTGGCGTTACTTTGAGCGTATTTTTCTTGTTTAATCACAGGGGGCACCCTTACACTTAGGATGCTGACCAGCATACTTTGTCTTGCTTTTCTTTTATAACATCAAAGTTTTTCACAAGGGCTGGGTTATCAATTGTTTGCCTTTGTTTCCTTTTGAGTAATTTCTTATTCCATAGAGATCTGACTTTATGGAAGTTACCTTCTGAAGTTCCTTTCAGACACATACTTGACTATGTTGTTAGGAAGCTTAAGTAGGCTGGAGCTACCTCTTCTTCCCAATCCAGGTTCTTCACCTCAGCATGTATTCATCAAATGTCTTAACCCAAATCCCCTTAGCTGGCCTGGGGATTCATGACTAAAGAACCTTCTAGAGAAGTCAGGGCTATGGACTGAGTTGGTGGAAAGCTATCTAAGTTTTTGTTTCACATGGGCAGAACTTAAAGTGACAAATAAATAATTTCATGTCATAACTCTAATTCAGTTTTATAGGAACCTACAGAAAATACCTCATTATTTTTTAATAAGCTTAATCAGTTTCAGATATTCTTACAAAGTTTAGTTTTTGATATCTTAAAGATTTCTTTATGACACAGCAGCAGGACAACTCCTAGCACCTTCATTCTTAGACTTCTTAACCACATGGTGTCATGTTACTTGCATGAAAAGTACGCTAATACTAATTTATAAGAAGTCTAGAAAAGAATAATCCTCAATGTTGCTTCAGCCACAAAAAGGATCAGTCAACAGAATGTTCTAGTTCCTCTGATGGGTAGAGCTGTCTAATGAAATTTGCCTGTATATAGCTTTTGTGACTGAAAGAAACTAGTTGGTCAGTGTATCTACCTCATTGCTCCCACTTAGGGTTTACAATGTAGTCTTCTCATCTTAACTCATTGGGAGCCTTGCCTACAAAGGAGGGTGAGAGTGGCATGACATTACTGTTCTGCTTGGTAAACAGTTATATGGTTTCACTACATATCAATAAATTAGAATCCTGAGTTGCACATTATTCTTTTCTGAGATTGAATTGGTAAGTCTTTGAAAGGCTGATTGACTCAAGTGAATGGAAAACAATTAGTTCTGAACTTGCAATGGTAGGACCACTATGTTACTATGTAAGGCCCTGACTCATAAGCCATTTCTCCTCTTTCACTGGCATTTCTTTTCCTTTACAAAACCCAACAAAGAGAAAATTCCATTCCTTTGAGAAAAACATTTTGCATAACGACCTAGGAGTCATTCTCAATGAGGACAATACATTGCAAATTTGTAATTACAAATTACAAGTCATCATTAAAATCACCCATTCTCAAAATCTCACTGAACGGTTTAGATTACAAGAGAAAGTCAGAATTCAAGATCAAATAATTACATGAAGTTTGGGAAATTTTTAAACATCCTGAAAAATATTAGCAGGGACTCAGACATCTGTATGCCAACATTCACAGCAGCATTATTAACAATAGCCAAAAGGGGCTATAACCCAAATGTTCACTGACCGGATAAACAAAAGGTGGTATATATACAATATTGCTTTCTTAGACTATCATAATAGTTTTTATTAAAACCTTACTACATAAATTTTTAATTTATGAATTCAACCAACTTCATCTATAAAGAATTACATGACTACTAGCAAGTAGTAACAATATAAACCTAATAAATATTTTTGTATCAGTGAGATTTTTCATATTATTCAAAACATGCTTATAGTCTACTACTAGTGAAATAAGATTCCTTTTCAGTAAGACAGAAATTAAGAGACTGACTTACCAAGCAGGTACTTGACAAGTTTTTCTGAAGCTGTTCAATTGTGTCTGCTTGCTTTGTGATTGTAACTTTTGACTTGGCATTTTCAACTTGAAGCCTAAAATGTAGATTTTAAAATAATTAGTCTGATCACAAATAAATTTTAAAAATACCATGTAATTTCTGAACAAACGAAGGCATTACATAAATTCTGAAAATTTTAAAAAGAGGAAGATTTGGCAATTGTCCCATTTTTATAGTTGTGTTTTGTGGATAATGTGCAAAATTTAGAGAAAATATGCAAAATTATGCATTTCAAAATAGCCCAAAGCTGGAATTTTTATCCAGCTTAACAATGGTATATTATCCTAACTAATATATTTTTTATACTGCACTGTTTATCTGCTTCATAAATACTTAAGTTATTTTCTGTGATGCTTTAAATTATACTTTTGCAAATGATCTTCCATCTTCTCAGCCTGTCTAAGGGCGTCTGTATGTTGATCCTGTGCTTCTTGCAACTAAAATAAAGAAAAAAAAATACATTTAACTACTGACAATCTAGTATAACGCCATAACCTGCTTTTGTAATTAAAAAATTTTTTTTTATTTGAGAGAGAGAGAGACAGACAGAGCGAGCACGTGCAGGGAAGAGAGCCAGAAGGAGAGAAAATCTTAAGCAGGCTCCAAGCTCAGGGCGAGCCTGATGTGGGACTCGGGTCTCACAACCTTGGGATCATGACTGAGTCGAAATTAAGAGTCAGGACGCTCAACCAACAAAGCTAACCAGGTGCTCCTGTAACTAAAAGCTTATTGGATACAGCCACACTCTCCTCTACATGCTGATTTATGGCTGATTTTATGCCATAACAGCAGAGTTGAGCTGCTACAACAGAGACCTGTGGCCTACAAAGCCTAAAATATTTAAATGGTCTTATAGGAGTTTATCAACCTTGGCTCTACTATAAAAACATACCTTTTTTTTTTAAATGTTTATTTTCTTTTTGAGACAGAGAGAGACAGAGCTTGAGCGGGGCAGGGGCAGAGAGAGAGGGAATCACAGAATCCGAAGCAGGCTCCAGGCTCTGAGCTGTCAGCACAGAGCCCGACGCAGGGCTTGAACCCACAAACTGCAAGATCATGACCTGAGCCGAAGTCGGTCGCTTAACCGACTGAGCCACCCAGGTGCCCCAAAATCATAACATTTTTCATGTTTTTGAATTATATATTTTCAGATAAACATACAAATTGATATACTGGTCAAATGGAGGAGATATGGGAAATAACCATATTGTAAACATTTATATTTTCGTATTCCAAGCACCACATCAACTATAATTTTAAATATTCACAGATGTGAATGACAATGGCTATTCTTGTGATTATAGAACTTAACATGCTGTTTTCAGTGACAAAAAGATATCTCATAGAATAGGTTGAGAAGCAATAACTTCATAGGAGCCAAAATGCCTGGATGTGAATTCCCAATTCTGCTGGTAATTAACTGTATGCCCTTCAGCAAATTACCTAAAATTTCTGTGTCTCAGTTTCTTCATCTATAAAATGAAGATAATAACAGTATCTACTGAGGCACCTGTGTGGCTCACTTGGTTAAGTATCCTGCTCTTGATTTCAGTTCAGGTCATGATCTCAGGGTCATGTGACTGAGCCCCACATCAGGCTCTACAGGGACAGTGAGAAGCCTACTTGATATTCTCTCTCTCTCTCTCTCTCTCTCCCTATCTGCCCTTCTCTGCAATCTCTCTCTCAAAATAAATATAAACTTTAAAAAATGATCTTAAAACAAATAATAATAGAACCCATCTCACTGGGATGTGGGAAGATTAAATTAGGGCATAGACATGAACACCTTAGAAGGGTATGTGACCCAGTGTAAGCTCTAAGTGTTGTCATTAACATTATTACTGTTGCAGTATTTTATGTTCCAGAAATTTGATATTTTGGGCAGATGGCACGCCAATGGGAGTGGTCTCGTATACAAAGTATACCGCAAGGATTCTTCACACCACTGAAAGTGACCACAAATGGGGAGCATGAGGCCCGGAACACCTCCTCAGGACTTCAAACAACTTTCGCCAATACAACTAGCCAACGGTACTTTTTTCCACTTATTATCATTTAACATACTTCTTCTCTATCCTACTCAGTGGACAATGCTCAGGGACTACAGTACTAACAGTACCTCCTGGATTGAATAAAGAAGGATTCACATGAACATCAGAGGCAAGGTCAAGCCACTGACATGGAAATAACGGACTCTTGCTAAATCAACGGTCCTAAACCATTTTATGTTCATACTGTTGATCGTAGCAACTGTTTACGTTAGGCTGCTTCAGCACATACGCTGATGCGGAGAAGATGAAGGCTTTGTGGTAAAGGCATATCAGAAAAGCTGTCCTCAGAGGTTTATAGTTGGTAAAATGCTATAAATCCTATAAATCCCAGTTCTGGCTACATACAGATTTAGACTGCTTTTTCAGAGAGAGAGAGGGAAAAGAAAACCCAAGCATTCGACTGAACACTTCTCCTCTATTTAGATTAAGTACTTTCAATTTTACATATACATATGTGTATATGTACATATATATTTTTTAATGTTTGTTTTTTGAGAGAGAGAGAGAGCGAGAGCACGAGTGGGGGTGAAGCAGAGACAGAGAGGGAGACAAAGGATCCAAAGCACGCTCTGCTGACATCAGAGGGCCCAATGCAGGGCTCAAACTCAAGAACCAGGAGATCATAACCTAAGCTGAAGTCAGACGCTGAACTAACTTGAGCCACCCAGCACCCCTCAATTTTATATTCAATTGCTTAAAATACATTTAGAAGAAAAGCTTTGTTATACCTACATTTCCAAGAAGAAATTATTGATATGGTATAAAGATCTTAAGGTCATCCTAAAAACTGCTAAGGTAGTTTCATTTTATACAAGGATAAGTACCAGATGTATCAAATAAAATTCCCCTTTAAATAAATTTATACTTAAAATTACCTTTCATGAGAAAAACAAAAACAACGTAAAAGAAGGGACTGATTTGTTCTGCACAGACCAGGTGACAAGTGTCAGTGGGAGTTACCACAGTCAGAGAAAGTTCATGGAGAATGAGACTGGGAGCCAGGTCTGAATAGACATGTAGCTGTCGGTAAGAGGAACAGAAACTAAAAAGACAGTAAGGACAGCATGTAAAAGGCTGAGTGATGGTGAAATCAACTTGATTAACTCAGATTAAAAATCTGATGGTAGGGAAATAAAAACAGATGTCCGCACAACAACTAAATGAATGTTCATACACAGCATTATTAATAGACAAAAAGAGGAAACAACACAGGGGTGCCTGGGTGGCTCAGTAAGCTAAGCGTCCGACTTCGGCTCCGGTCATGATCTCGTGGTTCGTGGGTTCCAACCCTGCGCTGGGCTTTGTGCTGAGAGCCAGCTCAGAGCCTGAAGCCTGCTTTTGACTCTGTGTTTCCCTCTCTCTCTCTGACCCTCCCTTGCTAACGCTGCCTCTCTCTCTCTCTCAGAAATAAATAAAACATTAAAAAATAAAAAAAAAAAAGACAAAATAACACAAAGGTCCATCAACTGATGAATGAACAAGGGCCTTAGCGCACAATGGAGTACTGTTTGACGATACAAAGAAATGAAGCACTGATCGGAGCTATCACCAACACAATCCTGAAAACATTCAGTGAAGCTAGTCACAAAGGACCAAACATTGTGGGACTCCACTGATAGGAAATATTCAGAAGAGGCAACTGCACAGAGACAGAGACAGTAGTGGACTGGAGGTTGCCTGCAGCTGGGGCAACGAGTCGGGGTTTCCTTTCAGGGTGATGGAAACATTCTACACGATGGCAGTGATGCTGGCATGAGTAGTCAAGAGACACTGAACTGTACGTGTCAAATGGGTGAAATTTATGCCATGTTGTATTATACCTCAATAAAACCCTAAAAAAATCCAACAGCAGGACATAGATACTTTTCTTAATTCTCTCTTTTGGGTATATATACTATACATGATCTGAATATTTCTGTGCTTTTACAATATATCTAAAAGGAAAAGAAAATGAAAGAAATGCCCAAGTTCAAATGGTTTGTAATCTTTCTGTACAAGTCATCTTGAATCAATACAGATTCTGCATAAAAGTGAAGATGAGAAAAAAGAAAATTTTCTGATACATTCCATTAAACATTATCTTCTGATTTTATCTGAGCTTGCCTCATCATGGGAATGGGGATCTCATTAAAAAACATTGTTTAGTAGGGGAAAATGTCTCTTGGGGGCACCTGGGTGGATAAGTCAGTTAAGCGCCCAATTTGTGATTTTAGCTCAGGTCATGATCTCATGCTTCATGAGACAGAACCCCACACTGGGCTCTGCACTGATAGCATGGAGGCTGCTTGGGATTCTCTCCCTCCTCTCTCTGCTCCTCCCCTCTTAACAGGCACACACGTGCGCTCTCTCTCCTCTCTCTGACCCTCCCCTATTAACATGCATACACATGCACTCTTGCTCTTTCAAATAAACTTAAAAAAATTAAAATTAAAAAAAGAAAAAGAAGTGTCTCAATTTCTGTGAGAAAGGATACAAAAGGCCTTAACATCCCTAAGAGTAAATATTATAAGAAAAAATGTATAATACTAAAGTAGAATGAAAGTCAGAGTTTAAGAAATAAAAACATCGTAAAGATACTAACATTATAAATTAATTATAATGAAACATAAAGAAAGTGGTCCATATGGGGAAAAACTGAGAGCTTTCCCCCTGAGATCAGGAACACGACAGGGATGTCCACTCTCACCACTGTTGTTTAACATAGTGCTGGAAGTCCTAGCATCAGCCATCAGACACCAAAAGGAAATCAAAGGCATCAGAATTGGCAAAGAGGAAGTCAAACTTTCACTCTTCGCAGATGACATGATACTCTACATAGAAAACCCGACAGACTCCACCAGAAGCCTACTAGAACTGATCCAAGAATTCAGCCAAGTTGCAGGGTACAAAATCAACGTACAGAAATCGGTTGCATTTTTATACACCAATAATGAAGCAACAGAAAGAGAAATCAAGAAACTGATCCCATTCACAATTGCACAAAAAACCATAAAATACCTCGGAATAAACCTAACCAAGGATACAAGAGATCTGTATGATGAAAACTATAGAAAACTTATGAAGGAAATTGAAGAAGACACAAAGAAATGGAAAAACATTCCATGCTCATGGATAGGAAGAATAAATATAGTTAAGATGTCATTACTACCTAAAGCACTCTACACATTCAATGCAATTCCAATCAAAATTGCACCAGCATACTTCTCAAAACTAGAACAAACTATCCAAAAATTTGTATGGAACCACAAAAGACCCCGAATAGCCAAAGTAATACTGAAAAATAAAACCAAAACGGGAGGTATCACCATCCCAGACTTCAGCCTCTACTACAAAGCTGTCATCCTCAAGACAGTATGGTATTGGCACAAAAACAGACACATAGACCAATGGAACAGAATTGAGAACTCAGAAGTGGACCCAAAAGTATACAGCCAACTGATCTTTGACAAAGCAGGAAAGAATATCCAATGGAAAAAAGACAGCCTTTTTAACAGATGGTGTTGGGAGAACTGGACAGCAACATGCAGAAGAATGAAACTAGATCATTTTCTCACACCATGCACAAAAATCAACTCAAAATGGATAAAGGACCTGAACGTGAGACAGGAAACTATCAACACCCTAGAGGAGAAAGCAGGAAACAACCTCCTTGACCTCCACCGCAGCAACTTCTTACTTGACACATCCCCAAAAGCAAGGGAATCAAGAGCAAAAATAAACTGTTGGGACCTCATCAAGATTAAAAGCTTCTGCACAGCCAAGGAAACAACCCAGAAAATTAATAGGCAACCAACGGAATGGGAAAAGATAGTTGCAAATGACATATCAGATAAAGGGTTAATATCCAGAATCTATAAGGAACTCACCAAACTACACGCCCGAAAAACAAACAACCCAGTGAAGAAATGGGCAGAAGACATGAACAGACACTTCTCCAAAGAGGACATCCAGATGGCCAACAGACACATGAAACGATGCTCAGCATCCCTCCTCATCAGGGAAATACAAATCAAAACCACACTGAGATACCACCTCACGCCAGTCAGAGTGGCTAAAATGAGCAAATCAGAGAACTCTAGATGCTGGCGAGGATGTGGAGAAACGGGCACCCTCCTACACTGTTGGTGGGAATGTAAACTGGTACAGCCCCTCTGGAAAACAGTGTGGAGGTTCCTCAGGAAACTAACAATAGAACTCCCTTATGACCCAGCAATAGCACTGCTAGGAATTTACCCAAGGGATACAGAAATGCTGAGGCATAGGAGCACATGTACCCCAATGTTCATAGCAGCACTCTCCACAATAGCTAAAACATGGAAAGAGCCTAAGTGTCCATCAACAGATGAATGGATCAAGAAGATGTGGTTTATCTATACCATGGAATACTACATGGCAATGAGAAACAATGAAATCTGGCCATGTGTAGCAACATGGATGGACCTTGAGGGTGTTATGCTGAGCGAAATAAGTCAGGCAGAGAAGGACAAATACCATATGTTTGCACGTATAGGAGGATTAGGAGGAACTTGACGGAGGACCAAGGGGGAGAAGAAGGGCGGAAATGGTGGGGGAAAGGGAGAGAGGCAAACCATGAGAGACTCTTGAATGCTGACAAAAACTGAGGACTGATGGATGTGGGGGGGAGGGGGGGATGGGCATGAAGGAGGGCACTTTGGGGATGAGCACTGAGTGTTATGTAGAAACTAATTTGACAATAAACTATTTGTAAAAAAAAAAAAAAAAAAAAAAAAAAAAGAAAGTGGTCCATGAAAATCAGTATCCTAAGACACTTTATATTATTTAACCAACTATAAATTAACTGTTGATGGGTTACATTTAATACATACCTGACTTTCAAATTGACCTAATTTCTTCTTTAGATCCTGTCTCTCATCTTCTAAACTAAGACGATAACATGATATAACTTCCAGTGAAGCCTCTGACATAGATTTTTTTTTCAGACTATCAGCCAGTTCTTCTTGAAGTTGTCTCACAGCTACCTGAGAAGACATTTCTGTTACTGATTTTATAAATCATCTTATTATTAAATTACATTAATAATACACAACTCTTACACAGGTACTTTAAGAAATATCGCCATATACATTAATTTACCCTCTTTTCCTAACATGTACACATTCCTGTTTACTGAACTCAGTGAAAGACACAAAAGGTGGTATCTTCCTGTCTAGTCAGTATGAGGTCCCGTGGGTAACGAATCCAGCCCCACTATCCATGCTGCATTCATGGATGTACCAAGCTTCATAACCTACAGAAGTCTCAAAAAGAAATGGGGATGTAGTTGGGAGTAGCAGTGGTAGATTCCTAATGATGAAATGATTTCCCTCTTTTTTTTTATTAAAGGCTTAAATTACATACAGAGTTCCTCACATATTCAATCTTCTGCTCCAATCCTTTCTCATAGATTCCTATCTCGAGGAACAAAAGTGAAGTCGTTCCAATGGGCTTCATGGCCCCACATTACCTGGCTTCCACCTCCCTCCCTGACCTCAGCGCCTACAGCTCTCTCCCCTCCTCCCTCCATTCCTGCTCCACAAGAATCCTGCAACCCTTCCTTAGTCTGACCGTGGAGATCCAATGCCAAATTACGAAATCAAAGAGAGATACAATTCTCTTGGTGCAGGACAAACTGAGGCCCAAATGATAGTAATTGAGCTTCGAAATGAACAAATTCTTTGTAAACATGTTTAAACGAAGTTATCAATAGCATTGGGAAGACTAATCAAACAGAGCTTTGCTAAAACTCACCACAGTTGTCTCAAATTATGATTTAATGAAAAGCAGATCCCTTTAAATATATGAGATTGTACAAATACATGATTTGAGACTAAAAGACCAAATTTATGTGAATGAAAATAAAGTCATACCAATTTAAAATGTATAAAAAGCTACCAAAGGAATAGTATTACCAGAGAGAGCATGTACATTTCATCTGGGAAATCTGGAGTCTGCTGTCCAGTTAACCCACTTAATTGAATCACAGTTTCAAAATGCTCATTTTACATTTGAGCATTTTCATTTACTAGTTCACGACAGTAATAAAATATGATGGTAAAGATTAAAATTATTATCGTAGGGGTGCCTGGGTGGCTTCGTTGGTTAAGCCACCAACTTTTAAAAAAAATTTTTTTTTATGTTTATTTATTTCTGAGAGAGAGAGAGACAGCATGAGCAGGGGAGGGTCCGAGAGAGAGGGAGACACAGAATCTGAAACAGACTCCAGGCTCTGAGCTGGCTGTCAGCACAAAGCCCAATGCAGGGTTCAGACCCACGAACCGTGAGATCATGACCTGAGCTGAAGTCAGACGCTTAGCCAACTGAGCCACCCAGGTGCCCATAAGCCACCAACTCTTGATTTCGGCTCACCTCATGAATCTCACAGATCATGAGTTTGAGCCCTGCGTAGGGCTCCGCGCTGGCAGTGCAGAGCATGCTTGGGATTCTCTCTCTCTGCCCCTCCCCAGATCATGTTCTCTGTCTCTGTCTCTCTCTGTCTCTAAAAATAAACTTAAAAAATTTATTACTGTAGCAGTATAAGAGTATTATCTGTAACAATTTATAACTTAATGTCTTAAAGTTTATTAGATGATACAGTATCATTACTCAAATTAAGGGACCTTGATCTAATTTTTATTTGCTGCATACAAGTTATGCTTTTTTGTTGATTTATAGTCTTTTTTTTAATTCCACTAGATTGTTCAGACCTGGCAGAGGTGATGGTTGGGAGATACTGTTGCAGCAAGATGGTGGAGAAACAAGGAGTTTTGTACTTCCCACCTGCATCTCTCAAAGAAGGGCTGAAGCCAAAGGATTCTGAACCGTAAGAGTCTAAGAGGAAAAAAGACGGAATCCACTAAGAAGACTACCTCATAGGGCTTTTGGAGAGAGATCCTATGTCTAACTGTGGAGCTTTCTTTGTGCTTCGTGCCCCAGTCCCAGAAATTCCATCTGGGATAGACGGTACACAAGAGATTGCAATCCCAGTCAGATTCAGGAGGAACTATTCGCCTACAAGATCTCCCGGGCTATACGGTGGGGAGTCCCAAATGTCACTATGAGTAGGGAAATAAAATAACCAAAGTCCCAACAAGAAAGACCAAGGGACACCATCAAAAGAACACTTCCTGAATGGACAGGCCCTGAACAGTCTATGAGCTTCCTTTAATATAGCAGTACTTACAGGTGCAGAGCACATAACAAGCTTTTAAAACTTACTAGAGATAGAAAGCTAGCCCAAATGACAAAGTAGAAGAACTCTCCTCTAAAGAAATCCCAGGAAGAAGTGACAGCTAAAGAATTGGTCAAAACAGATATAAGCAACATAACTGACCAAGAATTTAGAACAATAGTCATAAAATTAGTCTCTGGGCTTGAAAAAGGCATGGAAGACACCAGAGACAGTACTGCTACAAAGAATATGAATGAATCTTAAAAGTAGTTGTGATGAAATAAAAAATGCTACAAACAAGGAGTGTATTAAAATGGAGGCAGCCACTGCATGGATTGAAGAGGCAGAGAGGAGAATAGGTGAATTAGAAGACACAGTGATAGAAAAAGAGGAAGCCGAGAAAAAGAGAGATAAACGGATCCAGGAGCACGAAAGGAGAATTCGAGTCCTGAGTGATACAGTCAAAGGGAGCAATATCCGTATCATAGGAATTCCAGAAGTAGAAGAGAGAGAAAGGGGCTGAAGGGATACTTGAACAAATTATAGCTGAGAACTTCCCCACCAGGGGAAGGAAACAGACATTGAAGAGGCAAGACCCAAGAGGCACAGAGAACTTCCCTCAGACGTAACTTGAATCAATCTTCTGCACGAAATATCATAGTGAAACTGGCAAAATATAAGGATAAAGAGAGAATTCTGACAGCAAGGGATAAAAGGGCCCTAACATACAAAGGGAGATAAAAGAGCAGTTGCAGACCTATCTACTGAAACTTGGCAGGGCAGAAAGGAATGCCAGGAAATCTTCAATGTGATGAACAGAAAAAAACATGCAGCCAAGAATTAATTATCCAGCAAGCCTGCCATTCAGAATAGAAGGACAGATAAAGGTTTTTCTCAAGCAAAAATTGAAGGAATTCATCACCACTAAAGAAGCCCTAGAAGAAACCCTGAGGGGGACTCTATGAGGGAAATGTTGCAAGGAACGCAAGGTACCAGAGACGCCACCACAGGCATGAATCCTACAGACAACACAATGACTCTAAACCCATATTTTTCAATAACACTGAGTGTAAATTGACTAAATGCTCCAATCAAAAGACAAAGGGTATAAGAGTGGATAAAAAAACAAGATCCATCTATTTGCTGTCTACAAGAGACTCATTTTAGACCTGAGGACACCTTCAGATTGAAAGAGAGGATATGGAGAAATATCTCTCACGCTACTGGAAGTCAAAAGAAAGCTGGAGTAGCCATACTTATAACGGACAAACTGCACTTTAAATGTAAGGCAGTAACAAGAGATGAAGAAGGGCATTACATAATAATTACAGGGTCTATCCATCTGGAAGAGCTAACAATTATAAATGTCTATGCACCGAATTCAGCAACACCCAAATACATAAAACAATCACAAACATAAACAATCTTATGGATAAGAATGTGTTAATAGCAGGGGACTTTAATACTCCACTTACAGCAATGGATGGATCAACTAGACAGAAAATCATTAAAGAAACAATGGACCTGAATGACATATTCAATCAGACGGATCTGACACATACATATTTTTTTATTCTACTCGATTCAAAATTCAGCCATAATCAAAGACTACCTGAATTTTCTTTCTGGAAAACTGAAAAATACTTATCTTTCTACATACTTACTTCTCTTTCTGCTTTCTCATTTTCATACTGATGTATTCTTTCTTTTAAATGAGTACATTCATCAATTAACTCTTTATTTCTTTCTTCCAGCATAAGACCTTGTTTTTCACTCTCACCTTGAAGTTTTTTTATGATAGCCTGAAAGTGGTCTTCGATAATAATTACTCGCTTTTCTTTATCTTCGGCTTTGTTATAAGCATCATCTAATTGCTGTCGAAGCAACATATTTTCACTTTGTAGTTGAGATAATCTCTCCTCTAAGGATTCTTGCTTTCCAATGTATTTATTCACTTTACTTTGCTCGTTCTGATACATGTGTTCAATTTCCTTCTTCTGACACTCTATTTGACTTAGGTCTCTTTGCACACGTTCTAAAGCTAAAGTCTTTTCTCTGAGAGCCTCTTTTGTGTGATGGAACTCAATTTCTAGGCTGTTGAATTTAGTTTCAACTTGAGCAAGTTGCTGAGAAAGAATTTCATTGTTATCTTTTAGACTAGACATATCAAAATTCATCTTGGCCTGTAAACAAAACTTCTCATCTCTTGCTCTCTGGAAATCAAGTTCTAGGTCCCTTCTTGATGTTTTACTCTGATCATGATCGGGTATAGCAGTAGCCAGTCTAGCATGGTATGATTCAAGTTCTTCTTCCAGTCTCTCTTTATTTTGTTTTTCATTCTCCAACTGAGACTTTAGCATTTGAATCTCAGCTGTCAGAACATTAAGCTGCCCATTATATTGGAATATTGTTTTGGGTAATGTTTCCTCATTCTGTTTTATGGTCTTCTGAAGACTGTCATTCTTTTCTTTTAATGTTTCAATGTCACCACAATATTTCTTTTCTTTTCCCTGGTTCTGATTTTTTATGGTGTCTATTTCCATTCTTAGCATGGCAATTTCATCCTGCAACATGTGGTTTGTATGCAACAGATCTTGTTTTTCTTCATGACTATCAGGAACCTAAGTAAAACAAAGGAGTTTTTCAGATAGCACTTAATAAAATGACATGATCATCATTTTCTCTGAAATTCAAGTATAACCTATGTTTATATAATGAAAAGGTTGCAGGAGGCACCAAGGTGGCTCAGTTGGTTAAGTGTCTGACTCTTGATTTTGGCTCAGGGCATGATCTCAGATTCTGTGGGTTCAAGTTCCACATCAGGCTCTGTGCTGACGGTATGGAGCCTGCTTAGGTTTCTCTCTCTCCCTCTCTCTGCCCCTCCCCTGCTGGCACTCTTACTCTCAAAAGTAAATAAACATGAAGAAGGGAAGAAAGAAAGTAAGGAAAGAAGGAAGGAAGAAAGATAGATTGCAGTAAGTGAATATCCAAATGGAAAAAACATAATGTTTGGCCCAAATCTCAAACTTTATAAAAACAAAAGTTACCAAAAGTTCAAAATGTTAACTGACGATAATGGATGCATGAAAATAACAAATAATTCATGAGAAAAATTTTAACAATCTCAGAACTGGAAAGGCCTTTCTCTGATTTACAACAAACCAGAGGCCTGCAATAAAAGACTAATAAATCTGACTACATTTAGCAATTGAGTTCACACTCTGATATCTAACACAGCTACCCCACGGTAAAATCCTTTACTCTGCATATACTTGGACAGATTACATTTCCTAATTTTTTTTCCTGAGAATATTTCATATATACTTACTTTTCTAACATTTCTATAGTCAGTTATAAGAACTACATCTACTGATAACTGAAAAATCTAGGCACATACTAGAAACACTTCTATATACATCATGAACTCATTTGGTTATCACAATTCTAGAATGGAGAGATTAGAAATGTGAGCTGCACGACTTTCCCCCAGTCTCCTCACTCCACAACGAGCTCTCTTGCACCAACCAGTGCTACTTCTCTAGTGTAAATACATAAATACAAAAGAAGTCTTATATTTCAAAATACTGAGAGGAAATAAGGTGAAATTTATACATCTCAGAAAATCATGAGATTATTTACTGCTGCAATAACTTTTATTTCCTCTTCATGCTTAACGTAGTAATAAATATAAAATAGGGGAAATAAATGGAACTATTTTAGTAGGAATAAAACACCTATATATAAATTATCATTAAGTATCTATTATAGCATACCATTGTTTTCAAAAGTTCCTTGTAATGAAATAGGTTACTGCTTGAAGCAAACTGTGACTTTTCTCAAAAGTAGGAGACTTGATACCCAAAAGAGGATCTCTGAACTGGCTACACTTGTCCTTCTGTCCATTAGTGGAAGTGTTAAACTAACCTATTAATACATCAAGGCAGTGAAGTAACTGTTCTAAAGCAAAACATGTGTTTTTGAGATTATGGAAAGTTCATCATTGCCTACAGAAAATAATAAAAGCATCTCTTTGGATGAGGACATTATGAATGTCACTATTTGCTGCAGACACATGCATTTCATTAAGAATAGTATTTTATCCAATGAAGCAAAAATGCCACCGTCCCCCATGTCCCTCCCAAAAAATATATGTGCTTTTCAAATCCTCTATACTTTCCATGGTGTATGGGGTTGGCTTTGTTTTTTTTTGTTTTTTTTTTTTTTAATATATACATACATGGAGAAAAAAGGAATAAAATTTAAAAAATATACCTGTGTATTTCAAAGTAAATAAAGAAAATACCTCAAATGCATTTTCTTCCTAGCCATTTCTATCTCTATTTGTTTGCAAAGGTAATTATTTAGAATTCCACCTTGTAATACTCTGGCATTCTGTTCTACAGAAAGTGGCCACTGAGTGGCCACTTTGTTCTTCTACAACCTAGACACACATTTCCTTATGATTCTGGGTATCATACCATTAAAATTAAGTCAAAAGCTGAAGACGGGAACCTTAAAAAACTGTTCAAAGGAACATAACCTCATGTTTTAATTTATTTTAAACCTAAATAACATACATTGAATCAAAGGGATACTATAAAATATATGCATAATATACCATATAATAATGATGGAGATATACAATTTTTATCAAAAACTTATTTACCTTATTCAAATGATTTTTTACAGCCTTCAATTCCATGTGTAGTGTTCTAACAGTGGCTTCAAGTTGTAGTTTCATTTCAACTTCCTGAGTATACTGCTCTTGTGTTCTTCGTAACTCCTCCCTAATTTTTTCATATAACTTCTCTGCATGTCTTCTTTTTTCTTCTTCTTGCTTTAAAGTTAATCTGCAATTAAATGTGTTTCTTTTAAAATTTGTTTTGTTAGAAATAAAAAGTTCAGTTGATAAGCTATTTCCACATTACTTCTTATCCAAATGAAATTTCTATGTTCTCCAATTTTTTCCTTTCAAGGTCTCATGTTTTTATTTTCTCACTTCAACCTCTTCCAAAGGATAGACACAGTTGAAAAGAAACCATGAGAAAGTACTATGCAACTTAAGTTAGTTGCAGTCAGTAATAACTCTAGTAGACGTTTTAGGAAATGAATTTTGAAATTATTCAGGAAAGGTAGATTTGAAAATTATCCTTTTCCCCACAGGTATAAATATTCCTCCACAGGACACATAGTTCCTAATTACAAAGAGAAGTCATTGTTTATAAACAAACTTACAAATTCACTAGAAATAAAATGTCAACTTCACAAGCCATTACAAGTACCTCCAAAAACGATTTGCGGTGTAAGACAGCATCTGCAGATGTTGTTTACACAGCAGCGTACACGTGCAGATGACTGTCATCCAAGACTGGGCCAGCGGGTCTACTATCTGTTGCCCTATATTTTCTGTTTCTTCTTCCACAACACTTGCCACTTACCTTGTTCATTGTTATTTATTGAATGAAGCATTTAAACATCCCTTTTAGGACAACACAGGATCCAGATTAATTGAGGAAACAATAAAGAACAGTATGTGTTTTCAGTATAAACTTTTGAATTAATTTTACCTACGTATGACAGAGATGTTGAAAAAACTTATCAGGTATCCCTTTCCATATTCCTTTTTGAATGTTCATTCATTTTTGAGAGATGAAGAGAGAACACATGCACACAAAGGAGGGATGGGGCAGACAGTGAGGGAGTCAGAAAATCTGAACTGAGCTCCAAACTGGCAGCAGAGAGCCCGAGTTGGGGCTCAAACTCACTAAACCTAAGCTCATGACCCGAGCCAAACTCAGACGCTTGACTGACTGAGCCACTCAAGCACCCCCATTTTACTTCTTTTTTAATGGAGAGAGAGCTGGCACAAGTGCGCAAGTGTGGAGAGAGAGAAAGAGAGAATCCCACGAGAGGCAGAGAGAGAGAGAGAGAGAGGGAGGGAGAGAGAGAGAAAGAGAAAAGTGGGGCTCACGCTCACCCAAAGGAGGGCTCGAGTCCACCCAAAGCTGGGCTCAAACTCATGAGATCATGATCTGAGCCGAAGTCAGATGCTTGACCAACTGAGCAAACCAGGCGCCCCCCACTTTACTTTTTCATCCTTGCATGTGTTAAGAATGAAACTGACTGGATTTTTGAGAATTTTTCTGTCGAGCAAAATGGCCATTTTATATTCCGTTGGTGGGCATATATATTAATTTAAACTTTCCTGAGAACAATTTAAAAATATGGATCAAAGGCCTTCTTTAAAAATATTTATACTTTACCCAAATCAAACTATATTGAAGAATTTATTGCAAGTAAGTAATGTAGAAACAGATTTATATAAAAGACATTCCTTATAGAATTAATTAAAATACTGAAAAATGAAAAACAAGAAAATTCAATCTGTTAAATGATGAGGTTTCCATTTGGCAGACTTTTATAATGCCATTTAAATTATGATTTGGAATATTCATTAAATGATTACAAGTATTCATTCTTACAAACTTGCTGTATTATTTCCAAGAATCTCACACTTCACAACACAAAAGAAGTTTTCTCTCCAATAAAATCCCAGAAATTAGCAATTACAACATTTCCACTAACATCTATAGTAAAAAAGTAAACAGTTTAAATATTTCTTTAAAACCAAGATGCTGTATATACCTCAGTGTGCAGAGTTCACGATCCCATTTCACTTTTTGACACTCTAACTGCGATTTCATTTCTTTTGTTTCTGATAGCTCCTTTCGTAGTGCATTACCTTTTTTTTCCATTTTTTTAATTTTTCCCATAAGTCGTTTACAGTGACTTTTTTTAACTTTTATTAATCTTTCATACGAAAGAACTGCATTCTGGATTTTCAATAAGGCAACAGAATCTGTATCAGAAAAGAAACAAAAACAAAAATAAGGTATATGAGTACTTTTTAAATCTACAGAACTATGCATTTTCAGTTCACTCATTCACACTATTAATAAATATATAAGACATTACACTAAGCTCTACAGATACAACAGATAAGACCTCTGGCTACTGTTTAGCTTAAAGTCTAGTGAAGGACAGAGACAACTAAAATGATCATCATAAATTCAGAGAGTTGCCATGAGAAAACAGAGTTCTGTGATCATCACTTGATCTAGATTGGGCCCAAGGAAGATTTCCCTGAGGAAGAGAGAACTATACTGAGGAATGAAGGATAAGCAGGAAGCAATTATACAAGGGAGGAAGAAGATCACTCTAGACAGTCTAGACCATGTGCCAAAGTTTCGCTGTCATCTGCTTCTGGCCAAGATGGAGAGACACGTACTGATTTATCTTCCTACCTGAAGCAAGCAAAAACAAAACAGACAAAGTTCATTTTCAAATGATTTTCAAGACTCGGGACTTCAGGCAAGCAAGTTAGCCGAACACCTGCCCAAGCTCGCTGCCTTGAGAGAATTTTCAGGCCACGACACAGGAGAAAAAAAGTAAATAGACTCCACCATATTCCTTGCACTGAGAGGATGGGACTGAGAGTCTGGTGAATTCAAGGCAGATAGAGATGGCAGGTCAGACATACAGGAGAGGAGAAAGCAGAACACAAAAAGAAGCCTGGAGATCTGTAGAGGGCCCCCCTTGGGTATTCAGCAGAGTCACACCCGATGCAAACATGGAAGGAAGTCACCTGTGACCAAGAGAGAAAAGACAAGTGAAAAGAGGACAGGAAACACCACCTGGTGCTCACACAGCATGAGGGATAGTATCTATTCACATGAACTAAGATGGAAAAACTCATAATTGGCTTTGGGCTGACCACTACTCTGGATTCATGGAAGAATTCATAAGAGCAAGACTGAAGGATCAAACTGTTGGTAAGTAACTTCACTATATCTCTAAACAAAGCAGGAAAAGAGAAGAGGAGGCCACAAGCTATTTCTTAAAATCCAAATAGGACTCACAGAGATGTAAATTATGTTAGACATGATAAATACAATGGATAGAAATAAACACATAGTAGACATCATATCGCCAGTGATAAGACTGAAGTTTAACATTGGAAAACTGTGAGACAACTTCATGTGGGAAACACACAGTTGCCCAAAGAGGCAGGGGAAAGGGACAGGAAAACAAATACTTGAGAGAAAAAATGGCCAAAATTGTTCTAAACTTAATGAAAACTGGACAGCCAGAGGAGGGCAAGATGACGGAGAAGTAGGGAGCTCTATACATTTCACTCACCCCCATATCCCACACAGAGGAGGCCGGAAGCCATGGGAACCCTTACAGAACCCAGGAGTTTGGGAGGAAAAGGAGACAGCGTCCGCTGAGAAAACTTCTAGTGTGACTGCGAACGGGGGAAGATAAAATCAGGCCGAGACCAGAGACACAGAGGGAGGGGGGAATCCCCCTCTGCAGGGAGCCGAAGTGAGTCTAGGGGGGAAAAAGAGTGGCCAAAACTGCTCAAGACACTGCCCCTGTCACTGAGGAAGAGAAAAACCTCCACTTGGGACACAGAGGGATCCAGTTTCCTGCCCTCCTCCTGACCTAGGCGGGACGCACTTGTCCCAGGCGACCCCGGGGGAAACTGCTCCCTGCTCGTCAGCTTGACCTGGAGGGGACGTGTGGCGGCTGCACCTTTGTGCTTCTGGCTCGGCTGGATCCCTGGGGGGGAGGCAAAAGGCTTAAAACTTCTGAGAAAGAGATTTGCCTGTGAGTTTATATTTTGGGTAACGGGACACAGACAGACCCGGTTCCCAGCTGACCCTAGGCGGGACCCACTCGTCCTAGGCAACCCCCGGATGAAACTGCTCCTTGCTCGCCAGCCCGACCTGGAGGAGACGGGAGCAGCAGCTTCTGGCTCGATCCCCAGGGGGAAGGAGAGAGGCTTGAAACTGCCCTGAGGGGCTCACCTGTGAGTTTATATTTCTGGCAATTTCAATGGAGCACGTGGACTGAGATCTGGAAACGAGGCCTGGCCTGGGATATAGAGCACGGCCCACCTGGGCTACGCCCCCGGCACAGGGAGTTTACACACCCAAAAAAAGTGAGCTGCAACGCTTGGTTCAAGAAGGGACTGGGGCACTGCCACTCTTCTCCCCACAACCACCAAGGCAGGGCTCCCGTGGGATGCACTGGACCAAACCATGCGCATCCCCGCTAGAGAGCTGCCCTCTTCTTTATTTTTTTATTTTGATTTTGTTTACCGGAGCAGGGGCAAAACCAACATGGATGCACTGCCCTGATTAATTCTGGTCACTGGCTTGCTTAAACAGTCACATTTAATCCATTCTCTAGATATAAATTCTACACCTACCTACCTTTTCATCTCTTTCTCTCTGGAGTAATCAGACTATATAGTTTCTCTGGATAGCATCATCGTCATTTCTTTCGCCTCTTCTCCAACCATATTCCACTCTTTCGCTCTTTGAAAAAAGCCTCTTACTCTTTCTGCCTGCTCATTTCATTTCCAATTTCTCTTTATCCCCGCCTGTCATTTCTCTCTTTCTCAATGCTCTTCCACCTGCACTGCATACACCTGGCTATTTATTTGTAGCTGGGAAATCTGGTTATATGCTTTAGACTGTTCTTTGTCTATTGGGTTTCTTCTTTTTTCCTTTACTTCTTTTTTTCTTTTTTATGTATTTTTATCTCTAATTACCCGCCTTCCCTCCTTCCTCTTTTCTCTTTCGTTTTCCCTTTCGGTTTGTGTGTTTGTTGGATTTGTCTGTGTGTTTGTTTGCCTTTGTTCCCTGTGTGTTCGTCTGTTTTCTTTTCCAGGGCTACCTCAAGACACAAGCCAAAGTACACATGGTGGAGAGTCCCAAATACCACTATGAGTAGGAAATTAAAATAACCCAACAAGAGAGAGCAAGAGATACCATTCAAAGAACACTTTATGAACAGACAAGCCCTGGACAGTCAAAGAGCCTTCTTTGGTACAGCAGCGCTCAGGTACAGGAGCAGAATGCATAAAAAGCTTTTAAAACTAACAAGAGATAGAAAGCTAACCAAAATGACGAAACGAAAGAGTTCTCCTCCAAAGAAATTCCAGGAAGAATTGACATCTAAAGAACTGCTCAAAACAGAAATAAGCAAAATAACTGAACAAAAATTTAGAACAATAATCATAAAATTGATCGCTGGGCTTGAAAAAAGCATGGAGGACATCAGAGAAACTATGGCTACAAACACTACGGAGCTTAAAAATAGTTATGATGAATTCAAAATGCGATAAATGAGATACATAATAAACCGGGTCTGTCTAGGCGTACAATGCATGGACTGAAGAGGCAGAAAGGAGAATAAGTGATTTGGAAGACACAATTATAGAAAAAGAGGACACTGAGAAAAAGAGAGATAAACTGATCTAGGAACATGAAAGAAGAGTTCAGAGCTCAGCGATACTATCAAACGGAACAATATCCGTATCATAGGAATCCTAGAAGAGGAAAAGAGAGGGAAAGGTGCTGAAGGAGTCCTGGGACAAATTATAGAAGAGAACTTCCCCAACCTGGGGAGGGAAGTAGATGTTGAAATTCAAAAGTAACAGTCTGAGGAACTCCCCTCAGACGTAACTTGAATCGATCTTCTGCACGACATATCATAGTGAAAATGGCAAAATATAAAGACAAAGAGAATTTTGAAAGCAGCTAGGGAGAAAAGGGGCCTAACATACAAAGGGAAACCTATCAGAGTGGTGACAAACCTATCTACTGAAACGTGGCAGGCCAGAAAGGAATGGCAGGCGATCTACAATGTGATGAACAGAAAAAAAAAAGCAGCCAAGAATCCTCTATCCAGCAAGCCTTTCATTCAGAATAGAAGGAGAGATAAAAGTCTTTCCAAGTAAACAAAAACTGAAAGAATTCATCACCACTAAACCAGCCCTACAAGAAATCCTGAGGGGGACTTTCTGAGGGAAATGTTGCAAGGAACACAAGATACCAGAGACACCACCACAAGCATGAATCCCACAAAGGACACGATGACTCTAAACTCTATATTTCAATAATAACACTGAATGTAAATGGACTGAATGCCCCAATCAAAAAACACAGGGTAGCAGAATGGATAAAAAAACAAAATCCAGCTCTTTGCTTTCTACAAGAAATTCATTTCAGACTGGAGGCACCTTCAGACCGAAAGTAAGGGGATGGAGAAATGTCTAGTATGCTACTGGAAGTCAAAAAAAAGCTGGAGTAGCTACACTTATATCAGACAAACTGGACTTTAAAGTAAAGACAGTAACAAGGGATAAAGAAAGGCATTATATAATAATTCAAGGGTCTATCCATCAGGAAGAGCTAAAATTATAAATGTCTACGCACCAAATATGGGAGCACCTAAATACATAAAACAATCACAACAGAAACACTCTTATCGATAAGAAAGTGCTAATAGCAGGGGACTTTAATACTCCAGTTACAGCAATGGACAGATCAACTAGACAGAAAATCAATAAAGACACAATGGACTTAAATGACACATTGGACCAGATGGATTTGACAGATAGATTTAGAACTCTACATCCTGAGGCTATGGAACTCACTTTCTTCTCAAGTGCTCATGGCACATTATCAAGATAGATCACACGCTGGGACATAAAGCAGCCCTCAATAAATATAAAAGAATTGAGATCATAACATGCAAACTTTCAGACCACAATGTTATGAAACTCGAAATCAATCACAGGAAGAAGTCTGGAAAACCTCCAAAACTATGGAGGTTCAAGAACACCCTACTAAAGAACAAATGGGCCAATCAGGCAATTAGAGAAGAAATTTAAAAATATATGGAAACAAATGAAAGTGAGAATACACCAATGCAAACTCTAAGGGATGTGGCAAAAGCTGTCCTAAGAGGAAAGTACATTGCACTCCAGGCCTAATTCAAGAAATT